AGGCAATGTTCCCTGTTTTTCTAAGTCACTTAAGAGGCTAATTCATTAAAACTAAAGCAGTACTGCCTCTGGAGATTTGGCATCTCTATGGGACTGTGTTTCAGAACTTAAAGAAGAGGAGAGGCTATAATCTCACTTTATATAAAATAAAATACGGCTTTTGGCTTTCTGGTACAGTGGTTAGGCTGAGTTCTAGGGTTTTAACATAGAGTCCCCTAACTCATTAAACTTCAATTCCGGTGGCCTTTTTTCTACCACTGGAAGGTTACTGAGGTTGCAAGCCGGAAGTTCTGTGTCTCCCCTTTGCCCTTGAAAGGGCATTTGGGTGAGGACATTGCTCTTTGCTCTCATTTCCTTTACGTGTGGCAACTAGCTACAGCTGCTGCTGAGCAAACCAGTGTGGTGGGTAAATTTCTTCAGCCTCTTTTGCAGATGCAGCATCTCAGTATTTGTTTACTTTTTTAGGCATAAGATCCATTTTGTTTTGAACAAAGAAACCAGGGGCTTTACATTTTATTTTTAAGACTCAAGTATTCCTGTTTTTAAATACTATACATTCCAGTCCATAAAAATAGCCTAAGTCCTGCACCTTGCAATAGTAAGGAATACATTTCAAATCTAGCTGAGGAATTTTTGCAATATATGGGAGTATTCCTGGAATGGTATTCTGTCTTCTACCTCACTGATAGGGTTATCACAACACACACACACACACACACACACATACATACACACACACGCACGCACGCAGGAAAAGTCTAGCTGCCAAATGGCATTTGTGGAGAGGCACTGGTGACTGGTTACCTTACACCATGGCCACTGTGGCTGAAGGGCAAGGTTGCCCATCTTACTTCCATACCTATACTTTCTACCCTCTTTTCCCCAGAAACAACTGGAGTGTTGTCCCTTTTATATAGTCAGAAGGCTCCTGATGTGTAAAGGTGGGTGGTTCCTACCCCCCCCCATCTCCCTAGACCATGGGAAGCCCAGATGATGGCATTCCCCACCCCTCCTAAGTCACAGCAAGATAGCTAAAAGACCTAAGCTCTAAAACAAAGCCCCAAAGGGCTCTTCAGGGAGATTGAGCCCTTCAGGTACTCCTTTATTCTTAAAAGGTTCCACCTCTTAACCCGTCATCCTCCCTGAAGCATCAGGGTGTTCCCTCAGCTGTGCTTGGGCTCAGAAGGTGGAGCATTCTGGAATGTCTTTGTACATCAGGGTTTGGAGTTCTCTCCAGCCCAAATGCCTGATCTGATGAAGTGTCACTTTGGGGCTATCTTGGCAACCTTATACTTGACTACTCTTCTGATCTTGTCTTCGGCCCTCTAGGCAGCCTTTTCAAATTTGAGCTTTGAAAAACTTTCCAGTTAATGGATAATGAATGACAGGCAGTCACACACTTACTTATTTTTCATTCAACCAGTCTTAAGACTAGGACTTTTCAACATTCTCGTTACTGTTTAGGGCTCTGCCTTTCAGGTATACCTCCTCATTGTCTCATTCTTGGCCGAGCTTCCCAGAATATCAGAGGCTTTGGGTAAAATCATAAACTTCTAAAAAAATACCAGCATTGAGGATTTATGAACAGCCTTAGTTCTCTGGGGAGGAGGGATGGACTTTCTAGTTAAAGGAAGAAAAAACTGTCTCCAAAGTCCTTCAACCTGTTTGTGTATTTCTCTTGGGTTAAAATGAACTGATAACAACCTGGGAACAGTACCAAATGGACCTTTCCCTCCTTGTGTTCCTGTCCTTTTGTGAGCGTGTTGCCATGGGATAACATGATGCAAGTGAGCTCCTGTGCCAGGGAGAGACCTGAGTCGCAACCTGCTTCAGCCGATTGGACTATGCCTTAATTTAAGCCATTTTATACTTGTGTGTGGTAAATGTGGGTTGGGTTGGGTTGGTTGGTTGGTTGTTTTTAATTAGAAAAATGTCAAGGAATTCAAAGGCAGATGTTCCTAGAGTTTGAGTTTCATATTTTTTCGCCTCGCTTCTGTTTAACCTTATCATTAAACATAGTTTTTGATATTTAAAACTCAGCATTTGAGATTTAATGTGAAGCGGTAGGGAAGAAAATTGTCCTCATCACATGTTGCCAAGTTTGCCGCCAGAATACAGATTCCATTGCCCATATGAAGTCGTTTGTGGGGATCCCAGGATTTCAGACTGGACGGGACCTTCCGTGCCTGTCTGGTTCAGCCCCTTCCTTTACAGATGACGTTGAAGCCCAGAATATTTGTGACTTGCTTGAGATCATAAAGATAAGTAGTTGAGGCAGAGCCTTTGACTCTCAAGCCAGCGTGTTCTCTCCTCTGTGCCACAGTGTTAGGAACCAGGTCTTTATCTTTGTATTCTGAATGAAATGATTTTTGTGGCTAGCTTTTGAGATGGCCACATCTTGTTGATTAGTGAACCAATTAGCAAACTTGTTAGTTTATTGGTACGCCTTTTGGTTAGGAAGAAGAGAGTCCATCAAGCAGATACTTAGGGTGCTTTCTGGGATATGCCCCAGCTGATGGAGAAAGCAGGGGGAGATGACACAGACTCAGAAGTGACACGTCCAAAACTACCAGTAAGTGACTGAAGAAACAGGACTGGCTAGCACCCAAGGCCAGGGCTCTTTCCACTCTCTGCCTCTGCCTCTGAACACTCAGAATAAGGTCACATGTAACTAAATAATAAAATCACGTTAAGTAACTAAAAATTGAATTGATAAGGTGGAGTTTGTCTAAATTACTGACATTTGGATTATGTGGAACATGTTCAAAGTAACGTAGTTTTGTTTCAGGTAAATGTGATAACACCGGGCTAGAAAATAGCCTAATAAAGATCCTTAGAGGGTCTACTTTAAAGAATAAGAATTATTTGTAAGCAGTATGTCAGTTGTATGTAAATAGCCCCCTAAAAGCTTTTAAAGTCATTTGAAAATGTTTTCAAATGTATCCCCTTCATTTTTGTTATAATTTGCACTTCCTTTGAAGAAAATAATTTCAAAGCAAATGTTACTTCAGTCCTTAATGAAATTCTGAATTAATAGGGCTTTCTGTGTAATCTTCCTGCAAAGTGGCTTATGAGAATTTCAGAATTTACTTGAAAGTATTGACTAGGAAAAGAATCTCTGAGTGTTGAGAGATTTTCACTTTCCCTCCTGCACACCCTCTCTCAGTGACACTCCCCCCTTCAGTGGGAATGGAACAGCCCATGGAGTGCACAGAGGCCAAGAAGAGGAAGGATTCTGGTGTGCTGCAGAGAACTGCAAGCTTGGGATGGCTCTGAGCACACATGAAAAGTTCCATTGTTTCTTCCGTTGGAGGAAGATCCAATTACTTTTAAGAAAAACACATCTAAAGGCCCCTGCAAAGGAAAATGTACCTTCTCTGAATTAAACAGCAGCTACAAGTTGCTAACATTGGGCACTGACAACATGACGTTAAGTTTTTGTTGGGGGGTGAGGTGGAGTTGGGGGACAGGACTCAGAGCATCAGGATTCTTTTTGGGGAAAAGGCTAGAAGAAAGTATTTTGCAGCAGAATGATTCTCCTCCCTGCCTTGCCTTTCTCCATACAGTAGATATCACATTCTCATATATAAATGGACTATTGTCTTAGATGGGAGCAGACGCTCAGGTGGAGTGCTTCTAGTCATAAAATGGACCCCTTATCTCCACCTTGGAAGCTGAGCTAAGCTGGGATGTGATCATGAGGACCTAGGAACCTTTCTTTGTAGAGGTGATTTCCAATTTGACTCAACTCTGCAGGTTGAGTATTATTTTCTACCCGCAGAGACCTAGGGCAAAAAGCCTCCAGGCCTCTTGAGGGCAAGGAGACCTACTCGTTTGCAGGTGTATCTTAGAAACCATCTTAGTGAGTTATGGGAAGGGGTGCATAAAAGTGCCATCCGATGATGCTCCTAGAATAGAGCACTGGATTTGGAGTCAGACCAGTGGCATCCTAGCCTTACTCCCTAACTTTGCTGTTTTGACCAAGTCACTTAGAACTTCCTACCTTGGTTTTCTCATCTGTGAAATGAGCAGGGTTGGACCAGCTAGCCCAGTGATGCCATGTCCTGGAGGAGGGGAGGGACTTGGTCAGCAGTAAGTTGGCGTGGGTGAGTTGGTTGGGCGGGCTGAAGAGGGGCACGGACAGTTCCTGGGACCTCGTGGTATATAGGCAATGTCGAGCACGAAGAAACCTCACCTCTAACTCCTTTGGATGGTCTGGGTCAGACATAGTTGGAGTGCCTACAAAGCAAAAAAAAAAAATGCTCCCCCCACCCCCGCGATTTTGGTTTCTTGAGGGATTGCACTGTGCTGCTGAGAGAGGGACCCCTATCTTAGGAAAGTCAGAGGAAATTTCTGTGGAATAATGCAGAAAAGAAAAGCAGGCTCTCAGGTTCCCTTTGGGAGCTGGTGAAACCCGGGTGGAGTGGGATAACAGCGAGCAAAGCCTTTGTGTACGGTTTCTCTGCACCCCGATACCAGGATTTGTTGTTCCCAGCTCTGGGTCACCTCTGCTACCTAGTGAGGTTCACGCTGTCCCCCAGGTTTGGAACAGCCCCCGGGGTTGCACCACGGGCCTATGGTGAGGTGGCAAGCAGTCCCACGGAGAACGGGAACCCTGTCTGGGATTACAGGGGAGGGGAAAGGGCGGGAGGAGGGGATGAAGCACTTGATTCCCAGGGGACCTGGAGGAGGGAAGGGGAAGTTTAAGGTGAAGGAGGCAAAGAGAGAGTCCTGACTCCGAGAGGATCTTAACACAAGAGGGGGAGAGGAGGAGGAGGGGGTCGGTCCTAATCCCGAGGGGTTAATAAGGTGGGGCCCTAAAAGAGGGCAAGGAAGGACGGGACCCTAATCCCGAGGGGGCGGGGAGGCCGGGGTTCTAACCTCGACGGGGCGGGCAGGGGCGCCCTAGACCCGAGAGACGGGTGGGCAGGACCGGGGCCGCTCCCCTCGGGCAGTTCCTTCCCGCCCTCTACCCCACAAAAACGGGCAGGCAGCCACCAGAGCCAGCCACTCGTGGCAGCAGCGGCAGGAGAGAGCTGCTGACGGGGCGGCCCGGCGGGGCGAGTGAACCACGACTGCCTGCCCGGTTGGCCTCGGGAGGCGCCGGGAGCTGCCCGGGGTGAGTCTCTCTCGGGGCAGGGGAGGGAAGGCGGGGGCAGGTCAGCCCAGGAGGGGCTCCCAGCGGCAGTAACGGCCCAAGGCGCAGGCATCCTTAAAGAGCTGGGCAGGAATCCACTCCGAAAGCCAGGCGAAAGAAAGAGGCAGATGGGGGAGAAGCCGACTTCTGGGGCATCCCTGCTCACTCCAGGCACGCAGCGCCAAGGCACGCTTGGTGCCAAGCGCTGGGGTTGCAAAGAAAGGCAACACAAGCTCCTGTTCTCGAGAAGCTCCCAATCAGACACACTTCTATGTACAAACAAGCTATAGGTAGCGTGAACCGGAGCCAGCCAACAGAGATGAGGCACTAGCATTAAGGGGGGTGGGAAAGGCTTCTTCGGAAGGCGGGATTTTAGCTCAGACTTGAAGGAAGCCAGGGAAGCCTGGGGCAGAGATGGGCAGGGAGAACATTCCAGGCACGGGATGTATGGAGTCGAGGAGGCCCGTGTAGCTGGATCCCCGGCACGTGGAGAGAGGAGTAAGGTGTAAAAACACTAGAAAGGTAGGAAAGGGTCAGGTTGTAAAGCGCTTTAACAGCCAAAGAGGATATTTTTTATTTGATTCTGGAGGTAACAAAGAACCACTGGAGTTTATTGAATGGGAGTGGGAGGGGGTGGTTACAGACATGAACTTTAAGATCACTTTGATAGCCAATTGGAGGATGGATTGGAGTGGGCAGGTAGACCAACCAGCAGGTTATGCTGTAGTCTAGACTTTCGGTGATAAGGGTCTGCACCAGCAGCTAGCCTCGTCAGAGGAGAGAAGGGGGCATATAGGAGAGCAGAAATGCTTGGAAGGTAGAATGGAGAGGACTTAGCTACAAATCGGATATAGGAGGGTGAGAAAGAGGGATGAGTCAAGGAAGACACCTACGTCACAAGACTGGGTGATTGTGCCCTTGGCAGTAATAGGGAAGAAGAGAGGGTTTGGGTGGAAAGGTGAGTCAGAGGTAACCCATCTTGTCAGGGGTGACTTAGAGGACAAGCAAGGGACCCTGGGAAATGATTTCCATAGGAGAACTACAGAGGTCCTAGGACTGGAAGGTACCCTGGAGGTCATCTCATCCAAAAGCCCCTCATTTTACAGATGGGGAAACTGAGAAGGAAGGAGTGGGGAATGCCTAGCTCAACTTCATACACCTAGAAAGTGGCAGACAGCAAGCATCGGCATCCCAGTGCTCCCACTTCAAATCCATGGAGCTCTTTCCATCACAGTTTGCTGACTCCCTCCTTTTAGCTAATCTAAGGAAAAGCGTGTGTAAAGAGCTCCGACCTTTTCAGTTTTGTTTTGTTTTGTTTTGTTTTTAGGCAATTGGGGTTAAGTGACTTGCCCAGGGTCACACAGCTAGTAAGTGTCAAGTGTTTGGTCTGAGGCCGCATTTGAACTCAGGTCCTCCTGACTTCAGGGCCGGTGCTCTATCCACTGCACCACCTAGCTGCTCCCCAACCTTTTCAGAAAAGGGTTCCACAGGGTTATCAAATTTATGGCTGTTTAGTAAGTCTGAGAGCCTGAAACCGAAGCCCAGACATTTAACTTTCCCGGCTTCCAACGGCCTTGAGCATCTGTGTGAGTATTCATCCCTGTTCCCTGTGCCACACAAACACGTACACCCAGGAATGTGGACAGCATATTGGACTTGGAGCCAGGAAGAGTGAAGAAGATGTGCCTGAGCCCCACCTCAGACAGTCACTGTAAGCTGTGTGACCCCAGGCCAGTCATTCCCTTTTCTGGGCCTCAGTTTCTTCAACTCTGCAATCCTGTGAATTTAAGATGAAATGCCACCTTTTTCTTTCAATTATTTGCTTGCTTTTTCCGTTCTCCAATTTCTTCCTCCCCAACCCCCCCCCCACAAGGGTACACACAAATATCCTTCTCTTCCATCATATCATACACAGGTATCTGCAAGATCCTATCTAGCTTTCAATCCTGTGCTCCCATGACAAGTCAGACCATGTCCAGGGGAGGTTGACAAGGTTGGGGAAGGGACTTAAAATTAAGTCACATGAGGACTGGGTGAAGAAAATGGAGATATTTGGCCTACAGAAGAAAAGACTTGGGTAACAGTTGTGTCTTTATCTGAAAAAGGTTTCATGGAGAAAAGGGGAAATCTTCTGTGAACCTCCAAAAGGCAAAACTCTTGGTATAAGAAAACAAATTTAATATTAGTAATTCACAATTACTGAACACTTTAAGGAAGGGCTTTGAATACCAAACACAGCATTTTGTATTTCATCCTGGAGGTGATAAAGAGCCACCAGAGTTTATTGAATAGGGAGGTGACGCGGTCACACTTGCCCTTTTGGAAAATCGCTTTGGCAGCTCAGTGGAGGATGGACTGGAGTGGGGAGAGATGAAGCAGTTGGACCCCCCGTAGGCTAGTGCAGTAGTCCAAGGGAGAGGTGATGAGGGTCTGAACAGACTGGTGGCAGAATCAGAGAGAAAGGGGAGACATTGCAGAGAGGTGTTGCAGAGGTGAAATTGACAGGTTTTGGTAACTGATTGGATATAGGCGATGAAAGATAGTGAGGAGTCACACATACCACCTTAAGCATCTATTGGGTACCAAATACTGTGCTAGGCTCTAGGGTCTAGGCATTCCAAAGCAAAAATGAAACAGTCCTTGCCTTCAAAAAACTTACATTAGGTGGAACAATAGATATGCTCATAAATAAATACAAAATGCATATGAAATAATATCCAGGGAGAGGACACTGGGGGAGAAGCTTCCTTTAGAAGGTGGCATTTCATCTAAACTTTGTTTTTTGTTTGTTTTTGAGGCAATTGAGGTTAAATGACTTGCCCAGGGAAGTGAGGCAGGGAGTACATTCCAGTCATGAGGGGTAGGTAGCTTTTGCTGTGGAGACATAGGATGGAATGTTGTGTATGGAGAATAGTAAGATATAGAGCTAAAACAGAGTGGGTGAAGGAGACCAATGTGCAGTAAGCCTGGAAGAGGTGATTTGAACCAGATGGTGAAGGACTTTATATGCTAAACAGAGGAATCCATATGTTTTCCCTAGAAACAAGAGGGATCCACTGGCGCTTTTTGAGCAAGGGCATGACCTAGTCAGACTTGTGATTTAGGAATAAGAGCCATTCCCCACTTGGTAAATAGTAAACAGATATGAATAGGCATTTTTCAGAGAATGAAATCCAATCTATCACTAATCATATTAAAATGTTCTAAATCACTAACAGGTAGAGAAAATTAAGACAACCCAGCTACCACCTCACACCCATCAGATTAGCAAAGATAACCAAAGAAAGCAAAGTGATCGATGCGATGCGGAGGGGCTGAGGGAAAACAGGTACATTAATGATCTGTGGATTGGTCCAGCCATTCCAGAAAGCAATTTGAAACTACATCCAAAGTTATTAAACTGTACATCCCCTTTGGTCCAATGACACCAATATTAGGTCTATATGTCAAAGAGATCAAAGAAAAAGAAAACAGATCCATGTGTTTGAAAATATTTATAGCAGCTCTTCTTGTGGAGCCAAAGAGCTGGAGGCTGAGGGGACATTCATTAATTGGGAAATGTGGTGGGATACTGCTGCACTATAAGAAATGATGAAGGAGCCAATTTCAGAGGAATCCAGGAAGATTTCTATGAACTGATGCAGAGTGAGGTGAGAGGAAGCAGGAGAACAATTTATACAATTACAGCATAATTGTAAAGACAAATGACTTTGAAAGTCTTTAGAACTCTCACCAACTTAATGATGAATCACATTTCCAGAAGACTAATAATGTAAGTAGTTAGTTGGTAAACACTTATTAAGCACCTACTATGTGCTAAATGGTGGGGATACAAAGAAAGGCGAGAGACAATCCATGCCCTCAGGGAGCTCCCAGTGTAATGCAAAACTCCACATACAAACAACTGTGCATAAACAACATATAAACAGGATAAACTGGAAATAATTAGCAAAGGGAAGGCACTGGAACTAAGGAAGATGAGGAAGGCTTCCCAAAGAAGGGGGGATTTAAGCTGGCACATGGTCAGTGGGGACTTATTTTGCATGTTGTCGCTGTTCTTGAGTTGAGGTGTCCCTACTCTTCATGACCCCTTTTGGGATTTTTTTGTCAAAGATACTGGAGCAATTTGCCATTTTCTTCTCCAGCTCATTTTACAGATGAGGAAACTGAGGCAAACAGGATGAAGTGACTTGCCCAGGGTCACATGGCTAGTAAGTGTCTGAGGCCAGATTTGAACTCAGGTCTTCCTGACTCCAGGTCTGGTACTCTAACCACTGTGCCACCTAGTTACCTTGCATGAGTATACATGCTTGTAATATGGATTTTATTTCTCTTTCTTTCTCAATGGAGGGATTCAGGAAAGGAGAGAGAGAGAGAGAGAGACAGAGAGAGAGAGAGAGACAGAGAGACAGAGAGAGAGAGACAGAGAGACAGAGAGAGGGAGGGAGAATTTTCATTGATTGAAGAAATAAAAATTTAATTTAGAAAAAAAATTTCTGCACAAAAAAATTCCATTGCAATTGTATGAAGAACAGAGAGGGAAGAGAGTGAAGGCAGAAATGCCAATTGGGAGGTTACTGCAATAGTCTAGGTTTAGTATACGTAGACTCTAGAGTCCTCAAACATCCATTCTCAGGGGCAGGTCGGTTGCCTGGAGCCAACTTGCAATATTTCTCCTCAATGTTCTGGGGGACACTGAGCCCCAACTGGCGTTCTTTCCATCATGATTATCAGTTGATATGGATTAGTCAGCCAGACTTAATTAGTTTTGACAAATGAGTATTTAATAGGTTGGTATTGTGAGGACAATTGTTACAAAACACGCTCTGCAAAGTGCTACACTTTCTCACCAACACGTAACAGAGTCCATAGAAAGTGGGTTCAAGCTTGGACAGCACATGCAGGTTACTCCCCGCTCTTGGACATCCTTTCCTTAGAGCACAGGTGGGGAGCCCATGGCCTTCAGGCCACATGTGGCTTTC